TATCTATTATAGTTTTTAAGTATTTATCTTTCGTGATGTTGCACTGACCGGAGACATCTTTCAATTTCATTGTACTTGTGACAATGACAATAAAGAATATTCATTCATATTCATTCATTCATATTCATTCATATTCATTCATTCATATTCATTCAATTCGTAGGAACACACAGGAATTGGCTGAGACAGTAAATAAGCTTCTCTCCATGTCAAAGCAGAAACCCTCCGCAACAACAGTCCTCTCCTGAAAATGCTTTCAACATAGGGGACACAGTATCACAGAGAGCAGCCCCCATAAAAGTCAGGGCAGCCGGCACCACCCCTCTGAGCTCGGCAGGAGAGGACAGTGGATAATTTTGACTTAATCGATTCAACTACCTGAGCAACACAGTCGAGCCTCTGAGTCATGAGCACATCTTGGGCTCCAACGAATTGCAGGGCAGCTGTGTGTTCTCTTAAAAGGCACCCCTGCTTATCCAGTGCTGTTCCGACCAGGTCTGCTGACAGGTGGATAGATTATATAGTCATGTTTTAGCAAACAACATGTGTAGGACTCAAGTGCCAGACACAGGCAGGACAGAGAGCAGTGGAGTGCAGCTTGAGATTCTTCATTCACTTCGAGAACTTGAACATGAATTAACTTAGGTGATCTCTACTCACTTTAAAGAAAAGTAAAAATAGAAACTAATTTTACTTAAACACAAGGCTGAGCTCAACTGAATCCAATTAAAATGGAGAGAGACACACATGAGGAGCGGAGGATGGTAACGAGAGACCAGGAGAGATCTGTGAGAGGAGATTACAAGTTAGACTGGGCAGAGAATCCAGGAGATGAGTTAGGTAATATTATCCAGAGGATTATCAAGAGAACACCTTTACTTGAGATCCAAGCTAGTGGGGAAGGGGGAGGATGCCAGAAAACCTTGAATCCATGAGGCGGCTGGTGGTGGGTGGACGGGCAGGTGAGCATGGGCATGCACTGAAGAGCAGCGACAATATTCACTTGGCCTGGATCTTCTGACCCTCCAGAGCAAGCCTTGCCATCGCTTGAGCCATTCACAGGTGAGCTAGGGCACATGTCCACAATGTATGCATGTTTTTAAGCAGTGACAGAAAACAAATGCCACTGACTTTGGACATACATCAGATTTTTATGGTTAATAGTTTTTTAGAGCATCATGTTCAAACACTGTCTCAGATATCAATGCAGCATTTTATGACCGAACCAATGAAAGAGTGAGCTGTGAGTAGGAGAACGCTGTGAAGCAGAAGCTCCGCCCTCTGGGAGTCATTCCGAATAACAGTTAGTAGTTGAGCCCCGGTAACCAAACCGAACGCTCCTCCTGCTGGTTCGTCTAAATTTTCGCTTCTTTGTTCTTTTTGTGTCTGGTCCAAACCGTTCGACACGGCTCACTGTGGAGAGAGCGAAAGAAGAGCGCTTACCTCGAAAAGTTTTCTTTGACGAGAAAGAGCGGGTCCAGTTCTACTGCGGATTGACGGCGAGGTCTTTAACTTAAAGCAGCTCCAAACAAACCTAGAAAACTAGTGAGGTCTTTGCAAAGGGAAAAGTGGATGAGCAGCTCCTCTGTCATATTTCAAAGTTTGTTAGACAGCAGCAGACTGTAAAAGTATTCAGCATTACATAAAAGACGCAAAAAAGGCATGAATCCTTAATGAGAACTCCGGGGAGTGAGCAGACTCTCCAGACTTGTGCACTGCGCAATAAAGTGGGACTGAGTTCCAGGCAGAAAGCTGGAGAGCAAGACGTATATGGACTGATTGGCTGTGTGGACGCTGCCCTGGTGTGATGCTCATTTGGTTCTGTTTGAGTGAAAATGAAACTTTGGGACAGTTTGTCCCATTGGACCCGAATTTGGGACAGTTTAACGGCTTTTGCGGTCAAGCTTTAGCCGTGGACATTTTTTTTCTTCCTCAAACAAGAGGCAGTTGATGTCGTCGCATATCAGTATGAAATGGATTATTATCAGTTTGTTTTCTTGGAAATAAATTCAGTTATAGCTTTGAGAGCGGGAATATGCAGCCAGTGAATATTGAGTATTGATCTTACGTGGATATAAAGTGCACAAATTCTCTTTGCTTTTCCTTGAAAACCCTGGTTCGGGGAATTCTCTCTGCGGGTCACAGTGCGCTCAGAGCTCAAAGAAGAGACGCGGATGTTCGCTTGGGCGCAGCGTGCAGCGCCGCTGCACATGGAGCGCTCGGGGCGGCCGCCGCTGATGTTGCTCGGTCTGCTACTCCAAATCTGTTCCGCCGTTACCACTGATCGCATGAACTCCGACCGGTACGCGGTCTACTGGAACAGCTCCAACCCTAGGTAAGACCCAGACTGGGCTTTTACACAGAGTGGGTATTGAGTAGAACACGAGAAGTGCCAGAAATCATCATTAAAGGAGGGAAAATAAATGGGACTCAATATTATAATGATCCTTTGCGCAGTCGGTGGACATAGTTTGTAAAAAACAAACAAAACAAAACGCTTATTTATACCAAATGTTAGCTTTGTTAATGAAAGCGAGTAGCAGCAGCATAGCAGGGCTGCATGTTGAACTGTCCGAGGTCACACAGCCAGAAAGTGAGTCCATTACCCGCATCTGAAAACTTTCTGGGGCTGTAACAGAAACGTTTGTCAAAAGGGAGCAAAAACGGTTAGAATCGTAAAATTTGTCTCAAACAAATGACACTGTTCAGTAGATCAAGATTTTTAATAAATAAACCGCAGGTGCGCTTTCAACATCCATACTACCGTCATCCAACATCCATTCTCCTAGTCTTCTGACAGAGAGCACAATGCCAAATGAGCTACATAAAATATATATCAAATAATTCGTGTATGCCGAGAGTGAAGGCTGAGCTGATAAACTAAAGGAATTTTGTAGAATGTGCACTTGTAATTTCTAACGACTGTCCATGGAGCTTAATATAAATTTTGTTGCCGCAATGTCAGCAACATCAAAGAAAAAAACGTAAAAAAATAAAATAAAATGCCAGTGAAAGCTATTCTCGGTTCAAGGGGTCTCTAAATTTCCTTGTTTTGGTTTTTTCAATATTTAGTTTACAGAGGAATCAAACCATCCATTTGACTCTGCAATAACAAGATGTGTTCTGTGTTCTGCTGAGTAATCAGCAGCTGTTTTGTTAGATGTGATCTTTTCTTCTGCAGGATTATACAGACCTCCTTAGTTCTCTTTCGCTTTTCAGCAGTTGGTTGGACAAAATATCTGAACATATGAAATGCTTTAAACATTTTCTGACATTTATTAACAACATGATTCATGATAATTGTTGTCAGTATAACTTTTTTTTTTCAATCAGTCATTCCTCAATGAAAAACAAGACAAGAGAAACAAGAGAATCCACTGCAGCTTTGCGGTTGACAAGTTAAAGTTGACACCTTGTAATCCAAATATTGGATTACAGTAAACACGATAATCAAAAAACTGAAATTTTGGTCACAATTTTGTTTTAAAGATGTGAGTAATGATAGGGGTATTATAAAAGTCTGCCTGTGTCAAAAACAATTTTGATCTAAACACAAGTCTAAATAATCACAGTTTCTATTTTCATCTCCTTTGATGTTTTTACTTTCACACACGAAATTACATGTGAACTCAAATCTTAATGTGCTTTTCACTGATGGTTGTACAAAAATTACATTTGGGGAAAGTAAATTTGTTATATAATTTAAAGTTTTGAAAAAAATATATGGACTGAATAACTTAAAATGAAAGTTGCAGACAATGAAATGTCTTTCTCTGAGAAAGGTCACATAACCTTAATGTTAGAAATAACTGCAGTTACCACAAAATACAGACAAAGAAAAGAAACAGACATCCTAAATGAGTGTTAAATGTCCAGAGTGGTAAAACTGACTCTGATTTGACTAACTGTGGAATAATTTCTCAAGTTGTTTTTCAGTAACATTTTCAAGACTTAGGTGTATTATGTGCCTGGCAGCAGAGCATTGATGACTGTCCATTCTGTCTTCTGATTGGCTAAATGGTATCTGAACAAAGCAATAGCAACGTGCAGTGTTCGCAAATCATTGTAATATTTTAGGGATTTATTTTCATTTTGAGGTGTAAGAGAAAGAAAAATGTTCAGATTTTACTTTTGTAAATTAAAAAATGAAGAGTTTAAGAGATGCTGAACAGAAATGTTATTGAAGAGGAAACATGTCTCACATTTCAGTTCTCAAAGAGAGCCTGTAGCAGGAAAAGCTCTTAGATTCCAGCCTCATAACATGTTTCCATATGCACATGCTGTTTGCATCTGGAGGACCATATCTCAGGTTTCCAAGTGCATGATCTGCGCTTTAGTGTCCTTATAATATTCCTCTAATAATTGAGGAGTAATATTCCAGTTTGGCCAGTTTATTATAATTTATGCTTTCACTTGAATACCAAAATATTTTAAGTGATTCCTTTAATTTGAAAGGTCTCAAAGCGTACAGTTCTGGGAATTTAACTTTGATCTAAATATCACTTAAACAGTTGAGGTGTAACAGTAAACATGACATCTAGGAGACAAGGTTGGCCAATGACAATATGGCGTGTTCACACTGCAGAGAAAGATTTCAGTGACGATGGAAAATTACAGAACAAAACGCCTTCACTCCTTTCTTTGTAGAAGGGACTTTATTACATGTACAAATATGTGCACTTTTCCCACATGTTCCAGATGTGATTAAAATTTTGCCAGAGTTGATATTCTGGCATGTTTTGGGGACTCGCAGCTTTGCTGAGCCAAGAATGACATCAAGGCTTTTGTTCAGTTTTTTTTGAAAAGACATCCCCAAAAGTTCCACATCTTGGGGGCAAGAATCTGAAAATGTTTGAGAAATTTCCACAATTTTATAGGAAAAAATAAGAAAATATTCCTCAGCATTTCCTCTCTTGGCTCTTTTGGTTATTGATAACGAAGTGTTTTCATCTCCAAATATCATTCGTTATCAAACTTTTAGTTTTTTAGAAGATTAAATCATATTTTCTGTCCTTCCAGAAAATCTGACATTCATTTGCTAAGGTAATCAGAGGAACATGTGTGCTAACATTTGTACTAGTAATTTATTAACAGTTCACGTTATTAATCTCCGTTTTGGTTTTTCTTTCAATTAATTTTTTGTAAATTAAACATCAAAACAATAAATGTCCAGTGCAACCTTGTTGATGTCTTTTCATCCATTCACAATTCCCAAATCAGAAATATTCAGTTTACAATTACATGACACAAAGACAGGAGAACAAAGAAAAACAGGAAATTGTGTCATCTGAGAGGCTGGAATACTGCAATATTCAGTCTTTACTGGCTAAAAACTGATCGAAATAATCAAATGCTTTTTTGTCAACTGATAAGTAAAATTTTTTCATCAAATAACACTTGCCGAACGTCCCGTGGTGTAATTAGTATGCAACACAAACGCTAAAACAAAAGTGGACGTCGAGGCGACGACATACCTGCTGCTCAGTCTGTGACTTTTTGTCAGACTTGGGGACAACTGTGGGCTTTTTGTAGCCATTTCCCTCAATGCCGGGTTTCAAAAATGTCCTTTCACTTCAGCTCTCATGACTCATCGAGTGACGCTACTGATTAGTCAGTTGGTGGCATGCAGTCTGACGACGTCACATTTATTATCTACCTTAAGACCTGGATGACCTCAAATTCCCTGCTTCTAAAATCAGAAAAAACTGAGAATATTGTACTTGGGCCTTAAACATGGTATCTAACTAGGTATCTAACTAGATACTGACTTTAAGTGAGATTACTTTGGCCTCCAGTAACACTGAGGAATCTCGAGTCATTTCATGTATTATCATGAAGATATGTCCTCTAGCTGACCAAGCGACTATTTTTTTTAACCACTCACAACCAGCCAAGGGAATGTTCATTTTTCTTTGGCAAGCAACAGTTGCCAGGCAGTCGCCAATTGGCCTCTATGCCTGTGTGACAGAGGCCTAAGTTCAGAATCAGAAATGGAGCATGTGGAGTGAATGGGCGACCAACTCTGACAGGGGGGGCTCAGATCAAACACAAAAAAACAAAAAAAAACAAAAAAAAACCCCCACATATGTGACCTTCTTGAATAAACCTGTACACTGTGCAACCTTTACAGGCTACATAACAAATTTAAGAATAAAGAACCTGCTTTAAATGGCATCATGATACAGTTTGCATAATTACAACCATACACTCACAATGGAATTAGTAAGTGAGGGAAGCTATGAAGAGAAGTGGAAAGACAGCTGGTCCAGATGACATACCTGTGATGTGAAGAGCTCTAGGAAAGAGGGCAGTTGGCTTTTTAACTAGATTAAGACAGTCCAGGAGATTGAGAGGATCCCTGACGAATGTATTGCTATAGAGTTTGAGAACAAGGATGATGTGAAGAGCTATAGTAACTACAGATGCATAAAGCAACTTGGAGTTAGTATCTTTTCCAAGGATATTTGGCATGCAGGGATCGAACCACCAACCTTCCTGGTAGTAGATGACCTGTTCTACCTCAGTTACAGAGAGGTGACTGTCGTATAGTTTCATGTGGAGAGAGAACAAGAACTGTGGCCAACTACTTGTGTTTAAATAGTGTCTATATGACATGAGGGGTACTTCTGAAAGTCTGACCTGTGAAGGATCATAAGCTCCAAAAATAATGTCATTGTCAATCATGCTAGTTACCTCGATTGCTGTAGAAGCACTAAAATACTGAACCATTAACTTGAGCTGCAGTAACTTATTGGCAATGTTGGTCTTTAAACATTTCTTTAACAAATGTAAAAATGTATCAGTACACGCTTTTTCAACAACAGTATTCAGCTGATGAGGTGCAGTCACCAGGATCCCCAAAGCTCATCAATAACACAAATGCTGCCTATGTTTATTATTATAAAAATATTATAAATAAAGGCAATTATTATTAATATGAGGTGTTTAGTACAATCAGTATTATAAATTAAGATATGTTAAAAGAGGAAAAATGAATAATCTCAAGATTAATCCATTAACGTTGTTGCTGGATAAGACGAGAGACAAGCTCCTCTTGTTAAACATAGAATATAACTGCTATGAAACTTTAGATGCTAGTTCAACCTGACTTAATAGTTGTAATTTTTGGTCTGTTGTGTTCTCAGCTCACTGAATCCTTTTGTGTAGATTTGCTGCAATTTTCTGTAACCACACTCTCTCCTCATACTGATGTGAATAGGCGATATGGCCTAAAATGCATATCACGGTATAATTTGAAGCATGTGCGGTAACGATATATTTGCGATATATTTTCTTCTGTATAACGTACTTTACACAATATAAGGCACACTTAAA